TAAGTTATCAAAAAATTTACAGATTCTGGAATAAGAAGTTGTCATGAGACTGATGACAGCAAGGATGGCGATGGTGACGATAATAATGCGAACACAAACTAATATATAATAATTGTAGGTTTTTAAAAGTCTCAACAGAAGTCAATTTTGAAAAATGTCAAAAATCCAAAAGCACGGTGACGACGTTTCCCTTTAAAAATGTTTCACACATTACATAATGGAATATTATTTAATTCATGGGAATATTTTATGAAACTATAAAAGCGCTGCTGTATTCAATAAAGGATGATATAAACATCTCGTTAGCTGACTGACCCTTTACAATAATTCACGGATTAATTTCAAGAGAGGCGCTCAAAAAATTCTTGGTCCTTGATCAGTAATAGTAGTAGTAGTAGTAGTATTAGTAGTAGTGGTAGTAGTAGTAGTAGTAGTAGTAGTAGTAGTAGTAGCAGTAGTAGTAGTAGTAATGTAGGAATAGTAGTAGTAGTAGTAATGTAAGAGTAGTAGTAATGTAGGAGTAGTAGTAATAGAAGTAGTAATGTAGGAGTAGTAGTAGAAGCAACAGTAGCACTAGTGCACACACACTCTCTCTCTTTTCTCTCTCTCTCTCTCTCTCTCTCTCTCTCTCTCTCTCTCTCTCTCTCTCTTCCACAAACACATACGCCCACACGCATTGAAATGTATGAATAATATTTTTTCTGATCAATAAGTACCAAGGTTTGATTCAAACTGTTGCTCTATCTATCGCATATCTATCTACCACACACACACGCGCACAAACACATACACATACGCACACACACACGTGTTTGCATGTTTTTTGAATCTATTTTTTTATATTTCCGCAGAGGGCCTTATTGATAGCTTCGTTTTTATAAATATCTTATTGCGGATTTTATTTGTATTTAATTATTTTAATAGCATAATAATAGCAATAAGCAAATAGCAAATAATTTTATTTTATAAACTTTTCAAATTTTTAAGAGATTTTCTTTTGAGAGCTCGCTGTTGAGCCAAAATATCACATTAATCATCTGGATTAGATTTCGTTATTGGGCAAACAAAATTTGTTTGCACATTCGTATCTTCAAATTTAATCTTTCAAACTGTCATTTTAAAGTATTTCATATCTACGTCTTCTCTGTTTCCATCTTTTTAACTTTTCAAATATTTTAATTTTTTTAAATTTTATACACTGTTTTGTAAGCTCCAATGCTCAAATTATATCTGAAGTGACCGTTGTCTGATGCATGGTACCGCATAACGCACCGTCGCTTTGCACCTTCTTCACTGGCAGTTTGCATCGAGGCATTGAACCGATGACTTCATACCTCAGTCATTATCATATTTTTATCACATCATTGTAGCATTTTTACAAAAAGTTTCTAATCTATCCATTGTCATAAAACTCTTCATAGTGAATAGCAAATTGTGTTTATTCATCACAAAATCATCTTATCATCGTCACGTCATTACTATTATAACATTTCAACGTAGCTCGACCTCTCGTCATTTCCTCATCGCCATCATACAACTCTGAATGAAATAATTTTGACATTGAAATCACAAATAGGTGCAATGCAAGATTTTCTTAAATTTCACTATTTAATTTGTAAAACGATATCAGCTCTTTGATAATATTATAAGTCAGACAGACACGAGAAACATGAAACCTTTGGAAAGTTATCAAACTTGCCTGCTACCTAGCGAACATTTTCTTTTTGTGCTGTCAATACTTTGTGCTCGGTAGAGGATTGTAAGAGTAACTTGATGTTTCGAAAAATTTGCTACCAGTCTAACACGGAACAAGTTAAATTTAGAAAATTGCAACAATTCATATTTGCGAAACTTTTTTTAAAACTTAATTATTTGTTATCACAACAGCAATGAATGATTACGATTATTATCAGCGTGCCGACATCATATGTATTACAATATAACAATTCATTCATTCATTCATTCATTCATTCATTCATTCATTCATTCATTCATTCATTCATTCATTCATTCATTCATTCATTCATTCATTCATTCATTCATTCATTCATTCATTCATTCATTCATTCATTCATTCATTCATTCATTCATTCATTCATTCATTCATTCATTCATTCATTCATTCATTCATTCATTCATTCATTCATTCATTCATTCATTCATTCATTCATTCATTCATTCATTCATTCATTCATTCATTCATTCATTCATTCATTCATTCATTCATTCATTCATTCATTCATTCATTCATTCATTCATTCATTCATTCATTCATTCATTCATTCATTCATTCATTCATTCATTCATTCATTCATTCATTCATTCATTCATTCGAAACAATAGCAGGTAAATATAAAAATTAATTAGAAGATCAATTTGAGAAGAGGTTTCAAACATAAATAACATAAACATATAATTTAGTTTCTGGTTAAATGAATGTTACCATCACATGTTTTAATCAACAAATTTTTGTATTGTTTTTTTACAATTGTTTATTGGCGAAGCCAAACGTACATATGAGATTGAAAAAATTGTGAAAAAAATTAGAAAAATAACTCTACCGAAGAGAAATTTAATCAACAAAATGAAAGAAAAAAACAAACTTATGTGCTGCACTTCAGTCCGTAGTTCTCATTCAATTGAGGATAATCAAGTTACAGGGAAATATAAAACGGTATAATTTGATTGTAGTGGAAGGGTGTTTGTTTAAGGGTAAAATAATATTGTTTTGATTAAAAACGGGGAGAAAATGTTGATATCATCATCGTCAACTTTTCTCCTCTGTCGACGTCACCATCTTCATCAGCGACGTCACATCCTACTCATCAACATTATATCACCAATATCGTAATGATGAAACATGACATCTTGATCTATATTATTGTCATCTTCATTAAAATATCCACCAACATTCACATATTTTGTTATTTTTTCATCATCGTCAATATTATCATTGTTAAGCATATTCTCCATCGCCATTTCATCATCATCGCCATCGTTATCGATGCTATAAGCAGAGAAACTAAACTTAAACTCATTCAGAAAGCGGCTGACATGTTCGAAATTCTTGGCATCAACATCGAATTATTTTTTTTTGGAGTTCTGGCAAGAGTTAAAAAATTAAAAATTTTTTTTTGAACGATATCAAGCTTAACCCAATTTAACTGCTTATGCGGAATTCTTTCAAACCGTAATCTCCAATTAAAAAATCAATCAAGGTATCTTTATCTCGCAAAAAACTGCAACCATTTATATATATATATTACATAGAAAGGAAGAGATAGAGAAAAAGAAAGAGTGTGAGAGAAAAAGATAAAGAGTAAGAGAGAGAGAGAGAGAGAGAGAGAGAGAGAGAGAGAGAGAGAGAGAGGAAGGGCGATAAAGTGTAAAGTAACAAAACTTTATATAAAATCATAGTAAAGGTTGGCGCTAATGTAGAGAACTTTTCTTGTTGACACATTTTTGAATGAAAATTAAGTGACGAGTATGAAATTCTTATATAATATTTTTTAGTTTTTTCCGATTTGATTTGATAATATAATTTGTGCTTTTTACATACCACACTACATGCATATTTTTCTCTTGTTATTTGCCAAAAAGTTTTCAATATTACTGATTAAGAGTGATTTATACTAATGTTTAAATCTTGAAAGTCGCAAAATTTTGGGATATGAAAAGTTTTGTCATCTCAACTTTGTAAATCATTTGAAATGTGAGAAGTTGCGATCGAATTTATGTTTCTTTTGTGACTAATGGACATCCGTTTGAAAATTTTTAACCTGATTATTTTTGACTATTTCTGAAATGAATAAATAAAGTTCACGGAAGAAGTAAATTTAATTCAAAAATTTCGACAAATTTTCTCCTTATAATCAAGACAATTTTAAAATTTTTAATTTATCTTCAATTTATACCTGGAATGAAAGTTTCAAGTTACGTTAAAATTAATCACAAATTTGATACTCCATCATTTTGACGAGAGACATATATGTGTATATAATTTGTGTATAATTTTCTTTGCTCGCAATTTAAAAGCATTATTTATTTTGCTGAGTAATCATAAATTTTATATCAACTTTAAAATTTAAAAACAATTTATTTTCATTTTATTATTTTTTATTCAGTGTTCAATGCTAAAAGCAATTAAGGAGATTTCATTCTATAGAACAGTTTTTTTACTCAATTACATCCACAACTTTTGAAAACAAACTCACAATTAAAAAACAAACGCAACCAAAATTTAAAACAAGAATAAATATGATGATGATGATGACGATGATGACGACGATGATGACGAAGATGACAAAGAATGATAATCACGATGATAGCGTTTGCAATGACTAAAACGACCATGTTTCACACAATAAAATTGGAAAGATTGGCAACCTTATAATTTTGGAAGTCTTAAAAATTTGCACGTTCGTAATAAATCAATTTGGCCCATGGCGTGCCAATTGCATTTGCATATCGATTGAAACTCCCGATGGAACTTAATTTCATATTATGTGCGTGCTTGTGTGTGTGTGTGTGTGTGTGTGTTCAATTACATAAATGAACAATAACGGTTACAATTTTACGAATAAATTTTAATAAAAACTCATATTTTTTTTTTATTTCCATTTTCTTCGTTTTAAAATTTTAAAATGAAACTTCGACAATTAAATAAATTTAATAACTATGTAAATCATAGCATTAAATGTTTTATAATATATATGTACATATATAATAAACCAAACTTCAAAAAAAAATATTCAAATATTTTTATATTGTATATTCATACTCAAAATATTCTTAACATATGTACCATAAATAAGCTAGAAAATCAACAACAACAGCAAACACAACAACACAGCATAAGCAAGGGAATTAGCAATGCCATATCGCAAACATAAAACAACACAACATCAACATTTGCAACGACACGTAACAGTTAAAAGAGCGGAAACAACACTTTAACTGTATATCTCAAAATTTTATTAGTAAAAAGAGGTCACCGCCTATCACATAAAAATTCGAGTAATGCGAGCTTCGCAATTTTTTATGTGCACTGTGTGTGTGTGTTTGTGTGAGTGCGTGTGTGTAATTGTGTGTGTGTGTGTGTAATTGTGCGTGTGTATGTGTGTGTGTAATTGTGTGTGTGTGTGTTTGTGTGAGTGCGTGTGTGTAATTGTGTGTGTGTGTAATTGTGCGTGTGTATGTGTATGTGTAATTGTGTGTGTGTGTGTTTTTTAATGTTACAATAATCTCATCCCAATCCTAATCAGTAACCAAAATAACATCAAAAGCAACAGCACCAACAACATTACATCAACAGTTCCAACTACAACAACAACAGCAACAGCAGCAACAACAACAATAGCATCATCAACAGCAGTCAAAACAGGACAACAAACCTAACCGGCATACTTAGCTCCAATTTGTTCGGTTAGTATTTGATTGGTGGAGTCTTCTACATTGATGGAACTGACGTCCAGGTCGAGCGGATAGTTGTAGAATTTGTTCGTGTCAAATATGGCGCTGCTAGTGTGGTAGCAATAGCTGTTGGTGGGTGAAGTTTGGATTAGGTTGTCGGTGATTAAACCTTATTTTCTAAGAAAAAATTGAATTCAATTTTAAATGTTTCTTAAAATTTAGTTTAGTTTACACGTCAAAGTTGATTATTGAGAAATTGTTTAGTTTTATATTTTTTATTTAAATAACACTCTTCATATTTTACGGATGATATCGTTTTCTTTATCAATACGTCATCGTCGTCGTCGTCATCATCGCCTTTGAAGCCAGTTTTCTTTAGTAAAAAAAACAGAAAATGAGATTTCATCGAACCTGTCAATCAGAAAAATTTTCATCGCCCCATGTAGCTAACCTAGGTCATTAAAAAGTCAAAGTTTATCTCTTTAAATTTTTTTCACCAAGTCTGCCTACAACTTTTTTTATAGATGAAATTAGAAAAATGAGAACCAAAAACTTAGACATGTGATTGTATTATAGTATTGCACATAGTATTTCTATTTTAACTTTGGTTTTTACTCTACAGAATTCTGACACTCAGTCTATACTTTTCATCTTTCAAAATGCCCAATCCATCTTAATCTTTTATTCAGGGGCTTACTTCAACACGCATTCTAAACATTAAAATTTTCTCAACACTTCATAACTTATTTGTTAAATCAAATAAAAATAATGTTTGTGAATTAAGTATGTAATTTTGTGAGTCATAAATTTGTTTAAGCCTATGTTTCTCTAACTAAACCATTTTGTCCAGTTCTTTCTTCTTTGAGGCCTAGGTCATTTTGTCATAGTTCGCTTGTGAGGTACGTCATTCTAAAACATTGATTTTTTCAAATTTTGAAAATTGGATAATAATGGACGAGTATTTTACGTTTGATTTTATTTTTAAATAAATATAATAGCGTAGAACTGATAATATTTCAAAGAAAATTGCAAAAAAATTAGATTCTTAAACTTGAAAGAAATACTAATCAGAGTTTGAAGTATGGTCAGATGAATGTGACACTGCAAGCTTGAGTGCTTTTGACAACTGTCCGCATTATTTTAATGGGTGTGTTGAGCTGAAGTGATTAGTTCTATTTCTTGTTAGTTTAATTGGTGTAGGAATCTTTTGAAGTTATAAAATAATTTTTTTTTGTCAAATTGAAATTTCAAATAAATTTGGTATCAATTAATATTTCGAATTTTGTTTGAAGAGGTTTCAAATGATTGACAAATTTTAAATATAATGAGAAAAAATTGTTTTAATTCGTCGTTTTTTTCATCTTTATCACCTCTCTCTATCCAGTTGTGTGTGTGTGTGTGTGTGTGTGTGTGTGTGTGTGTGTGTGTGTAAGTGTGTGCGTGGTTTGTGTATGTGTATGTGTGCGTGTAAGTGTTATTAATCACTTTATTGTTTTTAATGGTTCAGTGTTGTTGTAAAGATATCGCGGAAAACAACAAATCACATTCGTGAAGTCCTTGTGTAACTTGTTGAATATCATCACATTTCAACTACTACGAAGTGTTAAAAATCGGGTTTTGAGGAGGTTGATGGTCGCCAATGTCCCGAAAGGAGAAGGCACGAGAAAGAAAGAAAAAGTGTTGTTGTAATAATTTATTTTTCTAAAATTATCAATGTTTTTCTTTTTCTCCTTTGAATGGCACAGCAAATTAAACTGTCATTTCAAATTCCGTCATTGTCAAATGCTTACAGAAACTATCGAACCCAGCCCCACTACATCGTCATATCGAATGTGAAGAGTACATCCATTCCGTCAATATTCAATATATTTTTCATTGATTGAAACACAATCGCGGTTTTTATTTGGTATTAGAATTGTTTAATTTAATCATTCATTTGTTGGTTTGTTTGTTTGTTTGTTTATATAATCAATCGTTCGTTCATTCTTTCATTGATTTTGTTCATTCATTCTTCTGTTGAATGATTTATGTACTTATCCATTTTTTCCAATCAGATCTAAACTTTTTTTAGAGGATAACTTTCATGATATCCAACAAAATAGCCTGATCAGAGCTCTACCTATAGAGCACTAACTACTGACACAACAAACAAATCACACACACACAGACACAAACACAAACAAACAAGCAAACTAGTTGTACATGTCGTTGTCAATGTTGTTTGCACATTTTCTGTCAATGATGTAATTCGTGTTGTTGTGGCTGACTTTGTGGCTGCTGTTGCAGCTACTGATGTTGTTGTTGTAGTTGATGTTGTTGTTGTAGTTGATGTATAGGAAGGATATTGCACTGTGGGTTCATTAGAGCATGGTGAATGGACATCTTTCTATACGTTTATTGGACTTTTTTAACGCGCCGGCTTTTTCTTATGTATTAACTAACAAATGTTCTTGTATTATTTTTCAGATAATGGCTCTAGTTAATTTCACGCCGATCATACTGTACATCTGGAATTCATCTTTTTGTTGCCGTTATCATAATTTTAAAAAAGATTAATACATTTTTGTCGTTGTATCAAGAATGTTGTTTTTATTTGTTGCCACTTGGTTTTATAGCAACATTGTACGTACATAGTATATAAAATAATTTACATCACAAGATATTATTTGATTAGTACTCTTTATATGGCTTGAGTTAATATAGTTATATAAATATGCCTCTTTTTAGGTGTATGTGTAAGTGCATATATATATATATATATATATATATATATATAAATATATACATATATATATGTGTGTTTGTTAATTGTTATATTCACTTCTTTAGTTTTGTGGCATATTACACACACATTCACTCACACACACACACACACACACACACACGCACGCACACACACACATACTCAAACACTTTTATTTGAGAAAATTTTTCATAGGTTTCTAATGGACTGAGTAGAATTTATGTTTTTTACGAACATGTACATTTATTTATTAATGCGAAATATTAGTTTGCGTTTTGTTGTTTGAAAAATAAATTCACTTTTTAAATAGAAAACTTAACTTAAGAAAGCTTTGTTAATTATTCAAAGTTTGGGATTGACATTTGGCGTTTGTAAGGCAAGCAAATAAACAAACACACACACACACACACACAAACACACACAAACACACACACGTACACGTTGTAAATCTTGTCAAGAAATGATGAAAGTATTGAATTTTCATTATATTCGGTATTGTCAGTTTTAATTTTGCGTTCCATACCACAAGGCACTTAGTGAAGAAAATTATTTTTCAAATATGTTCATCAACAATTGAAGAACCAGTAAAACACCTAACGTTCACAAATTTGTACTTGAAAATCTGATGAAAACACTTAATATTTAATGGCCCTGGCTCATATTAGTACATATTATTATGTAGATGATAATTTAGGTTAGGAGGTATAAGTAAATATAAGTTATATATAAATATATGTTAAGGTATGTATTTGTAATGATAGTTAAGTTATAATAGTAATTCACGACGAGACAGCAAACTCACAGACATAAAGTAGCTTAATATAAAATAATAAAATGTATTAATCAGAACATATAAAACTTTGTATAATAAGAATGAGGTGACATACAAAAGGGACTGACTGGTTAGAAGGAGTTAGAAAACTAGTTAAGCTCTAGTTAGAAGGAGTTAAACAACTAGTTGAGCTCTAGTTAGAAGGAGTTAGACAACTAGTTAAGCTCTAGGGAGCGAGGTCTGCTGGTATTTAATAGGCGAGCACATAAGTTGAGAGGAGAGTTATCCTAGTTAAGTTAGAGTTATCTTTTTAACACGCTTAAAGCTCTTGAACACTGTTCATACACTTTTACACATTATTATTTGCGTAACTCTTCATATTTTATATTTTAATTCTCAATTTTAAGTTTTGTTTTTTTACTTCATTAAAAATAATAATACAAAATTACAACTAACAATTAAGCAATAAAAATATTATTAACAATAATGGGTGAGTCATTTCTCGTTCGATTTCAATTATTAAACTTTATAACATTTTGAACACTAACTAATACTCAACACACGTGTCACCAATTAGTCATCTCTCTTTATTATATGTACATGAACAATGTCGACTTATTCAACGTTGAGCGAGCGAGTTTACAGAAACAGAAAGATTTTCCCCAAGAACAAACGATGTTGTTCGTTCAGTAACCGTCGTAAAAGGGTGAAGAGCGAGCAATATAACAATATTTCAACGTTAGCTACCTAATTTAAGCCAAATGTTTTACGTGCTTTATTTTTTACCAAAATATTTTATTTTGAATTTATCGAACAAATGAAAAATATTTTTGTGAAACATTTTTCAGGCAATGTTTTCAACATTTGATTATATTTCTACGGGGCTTTTTGTGCATTGAATGTTTCCATCAGAATTTTACAACTGATTTTATTAACAAATAGTTTTTAGAGTTTCTCAAATTAAAGATTTTTTTTTACTATAAAAAATACAAATATTAATTTAATATCCGTCTATGTGGAATGAAATTTATCTAAATATTTTGATTTTAATTTAGAAACTGTTGGCCCGCGTTAAGGATTTCGTTATCTAAATTGCTTTTCAGATCGTATCGTCCAACTCAAAATTGACATTTTTTGCATTTCCTGCTTCAAATTGATAACAAATAAAACTGAAATAAAATGAAATAAAAAAGTCAATCTTATTCAGACTTACTTTACCTGCAAGTAAAACTCGGTATGAATCATTAGATGGTGGTTAAAAAAGTTAAAGGTCAAGGTTAAAGATCCTAGGTTCAGAGGAGCCAGCAACACACAAACAGCTCATATGAATACACACTAAATGACGCATCACACACGAAGCATGTGATAGGCCGAGATCATTTTGTCAGATTCGAACCAGGTCACTGCGAAACAGCACTTGGCGATCTTAACCACTGGCCTATCAGACGGCCCTAAATAGAAACAACATCAATAGACTCGACAGCAGGACACGCAACAGTAGTCAGAAACAACAACGAGCAACACACGTAATAGCCACAACATCAATAGACTCGACAGCAGGACACGCAACAGTAGTCAGAAACAACAACGAGCAACACACGTAATAGCCACAACATCAAATAAATAACGACTGACAACAACGACACATAATCACATCAAACATCTTATAAAAGCGGTGCAAAAACTAAAAATGATGTGGCGCTAAAACAGTGAGTGACTAACTTTTGTATGAGGGTGACGGTATGCAACGGTTCAAAGAGCACCTTCATTCTACGCCAGCCAAATGCCGGCAAGAACTGTCTGATAATAAAGGACGCCAACTTATCAGACGAAGCTTTCATACTGGTTAAATAGCGAAAATTTTTTCTTCCTTCAGCCGAAGAACCCTTGAACGAATGGGAAAAACCGCCAGCAGAAGTTATTGGGATTCCCCAGGCTCCAGCATATCGACCAATCGGAGCAAGGGAATACTCGCAGACGGGTCCAAAAATGGAGTCAATGGAGTAACTCATGTAGATGTTGAAAAATGTCACCGGATCTACAGCTGAGTTACATCTGTGCAGTAAATGAGTGAGTGAGTGCGTGAGTGAGTAAGTGAGTGCGTGAGTGAGTGAGTGAGTGAGTGAGTGAGTGAGTGAGTGAGTGAGTGAGTGAGTGAGTGAGTGAGTGAGTGAGTGAGTGAGTGTATGTAGCAGATGTGAAAATTGTAGCAGTTAAATAATTCATGTGCAATAGCAATAAAACCAAATAATATTTCCAAAAAATTTCACAATACAAAAAAAACTTCTCAATTTCTAGCTAACAGATACGAATAAAAAACCGTTGTATAAAAAAAGAACATTTAAAAATTCTCCCATTCCTCCACTGTCATCATTAAAATGAATTTCTTTCTTTAAATTTTCATCTCACTGCAATTAAATTTTTTCGGCGATAAAAGCCTGCATTGCTTCGTTAATCACGTGACACGCGGAAATACCCAAAAATACGCGCGCCACAAAGACATCTATCTATATACCTCTCCACATACAGACACACACACGCGCATACGCACACACACACAAACAAACACACAGACACACACACTCTAAAATACTTTTTATGCATATGTGTGTGCGTATCTCTTATGTCATACACACACACACAAACCCACACACACACACACACACACACACACATAATATAATGTATGTATACACATATAAACATACAGACATATACATACACACACACATATATGTGCTCGGTTGAAATGTTTTTAAAGTGTATTGATTAATAAAAGACAAACGATCAACACAAAATTTATGCGCAAACAAGACGAACAGATAATAAGCAAACAAAAAAAACAATGACAAATAGATACTCTTATGTACGTACCTATACACGTACACATATACATAAGTACATATTTGCGTACACATGTACGTTTGTATTTATGTATGTGTGTAGGAATGTATGGATGCATGAATGAATGTAGCAAACAATACAACGCAGAAAATATCCTAAAGCACATACAAGTATAGGTACATATCTACATTTCCGGGATACATACATAATGCATACATCGTATGTGGAAGAGCGTATTGAAGATGTACAGTAAGAAAAAAAAGTGCACCTACTAACAAATTTAAACACCCCCACAAAAATTTTCAGTTTTGACCATTTTCAGTTTTGACCTCTTGTCAAAAATGCCTGGCTATGCACTTGCATATATAGAGATTTGTTGTAACTCAGTTATCATTTTACAGTGTCATCTTGCATGTCGTAAAGGTTTTTGAGGCTGTCAGATTCAAATATTTTGAAGAATATTGAAAACTTCAGTTATTTAAAAAGCAAGGTGACTTAATCATTCCTTGTTTATTGATTTTTGTTGTTTAAAAAAATAAAATAAATAATTCATGGAAAAATTTAGAAACATTTCAACATCATATATATATATGTACAGTTTGTCCTGCATTGTAACATGCCAGCAAATATACACTTCAGGACCTTACATAAAAATTTTAATATTTTTTTACATGCAATACATTTCGCATACAATTTTATACTATACCCCAACATACAAACAAACATACAAACAAACAAATATACATACAAATATACAAACAAGCAAACATACAAAGATACAAAATATAAACTAGCATACAAACAAACAAACAAACAAACTCAATAATACATACTCAGGATTATGTAGATATAGTAATTTGTTGCGTGCGCTAAAATTACGTATCGTAATTACGACAAAACGTAAAAAGTTCAGACCGGAAAATTTTTATTACAAATTTTTCTACATGCAATGAGAGAGAGAATATTTTTTTCAAACTAGAAATGCACTTGATGCTGTCATGCCTATGAATTTTAAATTATTTACAATGCTGATATAGAAAATTTAAATTTCATTTTTTGTTCGCCATTTTGTGTTTTCAGCTCAAATAAGTTAACAATATCCATAATAAAAAGTCTTAATGAGTAGTTTGCTGGTTATGATGGTAATTTTGATGTAGTTGGTTGTGAATTCATCCAAAAAAATTATTATTTATGGGAGAACTAATAATTTTAATATGAATAATAAGTATTGTAATAATTAATGATGATGAAATGGCCAATGAATATGATAATGAAGACTATAATGGTGACATCTGATGATGATGATAACATGACATTGGTGTTGTTAGTAATGAAACCCACGATAATGATGAAAGCAAAATATGTAAAAATGAAAAAGACATGATACAATTTTGTAATACAAAATTTGTAATTAGGATGATTAACTAGTATAATAAATAACTCAATTGCCGGCTACAATGATCGAGTAACATTTTTTCTCCAGCTTATTTTATTTAATTTTTTTTTAAATTTTTTATTTAAATTTTTTTTAAATTCTTCAGAGAAAAATTTTTTTTTTGGAAATACAAATTAAATTTATATTATTAACGACGCGACTGTGAGATAAATAATTCATTTTATTTTTTTTTTAATTAACAAAGAGCTACAGAAATTCAACTCATCCATTATCCAGGATCCATCTTTGACGTCATCTCCAAAGAATAAAGTGAATGAAATAAAGACAATTATGAAAATGATGACGACAACTATGGTGATGACGAAGACGATGATGATGATGATACGGATGATGATGATGATGAGGATGAAAGTAAGGATGATGATGATGATGACGATGAGGATGACGATGATGATGATGATTACGATGATGATGACGATGATGATGATGATTGTGACGATGATGATGACGATGACGAAGACAATGATGATGACGATGATGCTGATGATAATGATGAGGAGGAGAAAGATAAAGGTAAGGATGATGTTGATGATGATGACGATGATGGTGATGGTTATGACTTTATGAGAGAAATGAGAGATGATGATCAAACACAATAACGTTGATGATGGACGACGATGAATTCTAAGAACGGAAGTTAAAAATACCAAAGATCATAAAAGCAGGATGTGCATCGTAAACAATATTCCTGACGAATTGCAACGTTGAAAAAAGGGACAAAAAATGAAACTGCAATGATGAACAATATGTCATCGTGCCAATAACGTCGAACCCCTATATATTTATTCTAACTCTCTCTCTCTCTCTCTGTCTCTCTCTCTCTCTCTCTCTCTCTTTCTCTCTAACTTTTCTCAATTGTCAATTGTCTAACTTTAAATTTTTATATGATTACATATATTGTAATTCTTGCACTTGCTCTCTCTTTCTTTCTCTCTCTCTTTTTTTATCTCTCTCTTTCTTTCTATATGTCTAAATCTTTCTTTCTTTCTCTCTTTTTCATCTGTCATTTTTTCATCTTTTTTCTCTCTTTCTCATTTTCTCCTTCTATGTTCTCAATTCTTTCCATTTTTTTTTAAGTTTCCACGTTTTGCTTTATTTATGTAAATAAAACATATTTTCAAATACATACACACTCACATATGTGGAAGCTTTTCATATAAACTAGACCGCGCATAAATTTGACAAAAGTTTGGTTTATGAACTCAATAAACTTGAAAATGGCCATGAAGTTTTTGTTGGAAAAATTGCACATCTAAGCTGTGTGTGTTTGTGTGTATGTGTGTATGTATGTGACTATGTGTGTGAGAAAGAGGGAGAGAGTGTGTGTGTATGTGTGTATGTGTGTGTGTGTGTGTGTGTGTGTGTGTGTGTGTGTGTGTGTGTGTGTGTGTGTGTGTGTAGTAGAGTTAAGAAAAGAACTATAGTTGATTGCTATCAGTGATGAATTCAATGCAATCGCATGAGGCAACAATGTAAATAAATTAGCACATGTTTCAAAAATTGTACTAGAAACATAAAAAAATGAATTATGTGGAAAATGACAGATCCTCCTATCTGATTAATATTTTTTATGTGTTTGCATATTGTAACGCTCACAGGTACTAGGGAGAAAAGGCTGAAAAATTGAGATTAATGAGAAATGTTCGATTGAAAGATTTTCTGGACGTTTATTAATTTTTCTCTATTTTCGCAAAAAAATACTGTTTAGCACATTTTACATTTGTTTGAATATCCAGAAAAGAAAATATACTGAAGAAAAAATGTTTTAAAACTTTTTTCTCTCTCCAAAAATTGTGAAACTTATAAAGATATTTATTTTCTAAAGATGAAAATTTTCATTATTACAAAAGGTATTTTGATACATTTTACAACTTCGAATTTATGATTGAAGTATATTGTGTGAGTCTTTTGTCTTTGATATGTGTATAAAAACCGCAGAATATTTTTTCATGTTTACTTTTGAAACCGTTTTATTTGCATTTACACGCCAAGTTTGTTGCTCTTGTTCAGGTTGCTTCATACAAGATGATCTCTAGCACATGTGAAATATGTTATCTTTGTGTATTTATTAACAAAACTGTGGGTTAATGGCGTGTTGGTTGGAGTATACAATCACTCATTTCAATGAGACCTTAGATCATTCGTGAAATATTTTTGTGTTGTTTTCCAACTAAACACTTTCATTTAATTAAATTTGATTGACAATTCTGCTCATATGCATTGTTGAACAGGAAATAATTTCTTCAATGTAGTTCCGTTAAGCTGAATTTACGACGTGACTGAATTTAACTTCAAGAAGTGTTTGTTTAATTTTTCTAAATCGTAAATTAGTTTAAGCGTAAAACAAACAATTCGGAGAATGTTTCTTTGAGAAATAAATTTTCGCTCCCATCTGCTGTCAACCCTATTTGAAGTTTTTCCATTGTACCTACCTTTTTTAAGTTGATTGCAATAGGAGATTTCGTTACAAGTTACATTAGAATTAGTTTGAAAATTAAACCGGGCGGGTCCAGTTTTACTTAAATTCATTGAATCGTGTTGTTTAAAAGACAAAACCTGGAGCAGGGATAATGACAACTTTTTATTTGCATCATTTTATTCTAAATTTAATTTTTCTATTAGTTATTTGACATAAGTAGATTTAAAATATTTTTAAAATAATGACCCTTTACGAACAAGCACGCCTGCTTAGTCAATCAACAAACCAACCATTCAATCCATTCAATCAATCAATTTTCAATAATTCGTTCAGTCGTTTAACCAACTAATCAATCAATCAATTTTCAATCGTTCAGTCAGTCAACAATCAATCAACCAATCAGTCAATTAACCAACTAATCCAGAGGTGGGCAAACTACGGCCCGCTAGCCTCATGCGGCACGCGATGCTATTTTATGCTTGCTCGCCAAAAAGCCAAAAAAAACGTTGTCAGCCAAACGTTATGACCAAAAAAAGAGCCACAAATCTTAAAAAAATTCTTCTCCGGGTCGAATAAATTTGCTATTTAAGTACATATGCGGCCCTTCAAAGGTAAAATAGTTCTCAATGCGGCCCTCACAGCAAAATGTTTGCCCAACCCTGAACTAATCAATCAATCAATTTTTAATCATGCAGTCAATTAATCAATCTATCAATTTTCAATCATTCAGTCAGTAAACCAAGCAATCAAACAAACAACCACTTGAACCATCATTGAAGCAAGCAAAAAATGGAACACTGCCTCATAAATCAGGTAGCCAAATGAGCTGTCCAATCGATCTATCAAACGTGCAATCAAGTGTTTCAACCCCCAACCAATCAAATATTCTATCACTTAATTCATCCCTCAATCAATCAGTCATTTATTCATTCAATCAATCAATCGATCACCCAGCCAATCAATCTCTTCACTATTCTCTTGAATGGGGTTTTAAAAAGTTCGCAATTTAAATGATGGAATGAGGTTCAAATCTTTTTTTTTCACTGAAAAAATGCTAGACTAAGCACATGTACGAAATACCAAAAATTGCATTTTTTTTAAATAAAATTTTATTAAATATTTATTCGCTATTTAATTCGTTAATTTTATTTTAATTTTTATTTCATTGTAACTTTAATTAATTTAATTCAAATGAAAGTATATTAATTACAAAATAGCATTAAATTTCCTTTTAAAAATTTTTCATGACGCAATTGTTTGTCATTAGTCTATATCTTAGCGTATTTAATCTGAGCGGCCAAATGCTGTTACATCCACTGGGTTAGTATTATTTGCTTCTCCCGTTGTTTCAAATACCCAAATTCAAAATGTAATAACATATCTCTCACAAGTTTGATTCTAAAGGTATATCACCACACAAATAAAACATGGGCAGTCGTGCAGTCTGCTCACATCGCATTCAAACTAGATCAGCCTGGCCCTGTTGGTTGGAAGGCGATCACGAGACACGGCACTTCTGATGCCTGTGCCACCCCAATGACACCAAATGGTTCATTAACGGACCCATCCATCAATCGTTCGATAGACGCGTCAATCTTATTAATTCTTCATTTCTTCATTTCTTCCTCCCTTCATTCATTCATCCATTCATTCGTTCGTTCGTTCGTTCGCCCGTCCCTCCGTCTATCCATCCATCCATTCATTCGTTCTTTTTCTAGGCATGTGCGCGTTAGGAACTAAATTTTCATCAATTTGTGTATTATCTTATATACATATGTATATATACACGTGTGTGTGTGTGTGTGTGTGTGTGTGTGAGTGTGTGTGTGTGTGTGTGTGTGTGTGTGTGTGTGCGAAATTCCAAACAAAATTTTCAAACAAACAAACAAAAAACAACAGTCGGGAAATGTATGTAAAAAATTGATTTTCGTTCATCCATCAATCAAATGATTCAATATTTGCATCCACGAAACTTCAATTTTCAATTGAATTCATTAAAAATATTTTTTTCTTCAAGAAAACATTTCTATGAAAGTTTTTTTTATGAAATTGTTCTGCCTGAACAATTTAAAATTTTGAAAACCAGTCGAAATTTTAAAATGCATCTATTACTCTACTACTATTATTATACCTCACTCTATTACTATCTCACCTGATTCTAAGAACTCTTGATGTTTCTCACAAGTTTCGTAGTCTAGGTTTTATTTTTGATTCTAGTATGTCTCTTTCTTCTCAGATAAATAGTGTTGCTAGAAGTTCTTACATTCAATCTACGTAGAATAAAAAAACTTTTGCTTTTTCTTGATGATCCTACTCTTCTCCTTCTTATTACTTCGCTAGTCTTGTCTAGGATTGGTTGTTGTAACTCTCTCTACTATGGTTTTCCTGATTCTACACTTTATCTTTTAAGTAATGTTTTAAACTCTTCGGCTCGTCTAGTTATTCGTGTCTTTTTATTTTCTCATATATTTCCATATATTGTTATCTTGCACTGTCTACCTATAAAAAAGAGAAAATTTATTAAAATTTGCACATTTATGTAGAAGTCTCAATCTAAATTATTAATTTCTAAGTACTTATCAGATATAAAAATAATATTTGAACCTAAACGCTCAGGTTTACGATCGTATTCTTGTTCTCACTTCTTCTTAACTTGTGTAAAACACTTTTTTGCTAAATTTGCAGTTGCTTTTCCTGGCCATTTTCTCTGGAACTCTCTATCTCCTTCTTTGATTACCTCTCCATCGGTTACGAAATTCAGAGCGGATCTCAAGATCCATCGTTTTGCAAAATTCATTGATGAGCGCTGTTGAACATCGCGGAAATAATTGATTGATTAATTGGTTCAAATCCATAACTCATTTCTTTGAACACTTTTAAACGGTGTTGTTAAAACTGGTTTCTCGCACAGCGGCTCTTAAAAAAATATAATGCTATTCAAACTTATTTTAAATACATACATATATATATATATATATATATATATATATATATATATATATATATATATACATATATATATATATATCACAGAAAACTTGTTTTAAGAAAATAAAGATATGCATCATTCATTTAATTCTAACTATCAATCTTATTTAGCCAAAAAAATATCATTTTCGTATCAATGATCTTGTTTTTCGAAACTTTTTGATGTCATTCAATCAATCAATAAAGTCGATTTATATAGTGCAATTTCCAAGAAGCAAGTGCTCTAATTTTTCCATGCATCATTTAAACAAATCCTCAAACTTTACTTCATTACATCAACAACTTTTAAAATTTTTGTTCTTCAAAAAGTAAAAGGATAGGCGGAAAGATAATAAGATAATCAACAATAAAACTTCTTCACATTAAAAGATGCAGTAGCGGATCTAGCCTAACCTAACCTATAATTTCAACCTTTAAATATTTTCTAACTCTCCGGTCAACCTGGAAATATTTTCAAATTTCTCATACGGTCAATGGTGGTTCAAACAATAAAAAAATTTAGACTTCATCCATCAAAGTTTTTCTAGACCCGCCACTGATGAATATATTGTATGAATATATATATGAGTATATGGCTCATGGCCTCTACTACTCAATATCCGACCAGCACTGTGTTTAAAAAACACAAATTAATACACAAACTTTTTGTTGGTTTATTAGTATATAAATTAGAAAAATAAAAAATAATAAGAAAAAATGAATAATAAATAAATAATTGTTATGGACAAGCAATTGAGAGTTAATGATTCATCTATCTCTTGGCATCAATTGCATGAATGTTTTCCATTGTGTCGTCTGTTTATACATCAATTTTTAAAGGAAAGGTCGCATGACATTAAACCCTTCGTTCATCCACAAAATCTTCCATCATTTTTCATCTCATGAATATTAATTAATTTCAAATAACGTTTCGTCATTTAGTTCGTCCCGTCTGTTTTATTATTCATTATCTGAGGTAATGCTTTCGTTTCAGAAGCGTCGTCTTATGAATAAGCTTATAGTAAATGTTTGTTAGATTATATTTCTACTGCCTTATTTCCATAAAATATTCAATTTATTTATTTTATTCATCTACTTATAAACTAAATAAACTTCTATAGTAGTACACAAACAATCTCTCGCATGTATAGGTATACCTATGTACATTTATATCTGTGCGTATGTCTGGCTCGTAAACATTAATTTTTAATTAAGAAATTTCGCAATGACTTTTCAAGATAGGTCATCTTTTATGAAATTTTAGTATAGAAATATGACCATGCTTTATGTTGAAATAATTAGAAAAATAAATTTTTTCATTTTTGATGAATGTTGTTAGAATTTTGAATTGTTTACTAGGTTATGATGAATTAAACTGTCTTTTAGTTATTATCCTTCTGCGTTGTTTCCGAAGTCAAAAATTTTTTTTAATGATTTTTTGAGGCTATTTCAGACAGAATAATGCCTGGTACGTAACAAAAATGTTGCTATCTTTAAAAAAATTAATAAATTCCATTTTAAAATATTTTTATATTGATTTTATATAACAATTCTTTCGTAAAAATGAATAAAAGTTTGTTTTTTATGGGTTTTATTCATTCCATGAGAAACTCCATTAATTTATTTCTTGCTGATAAGTTTTGAAAAGAATGCAAAAACACATTGAAAGCGACTCTAAACGCATTGAATGATTTCTAATTGCAATTAGCGAAACGTTTTGAAGGGAGTTTGACTTTAAAAGTTTTAAAAAGGAAATTTAATTTTTTGAAAAAATTTGTTATGAGTTGCTTGTACGAATATTTCATAGATCTGGTTTGTTTAATTTATGTGTGAGTGTCAGATTGTGTGTGTGTTTCTGAATGTGTGTGTAAGTGTCGGATTGTGTGTGTGTTTCTGAATGTGTGGAATGTGGGGTGGTATTTACAAGAGTGTATTTACCGCTGTTAATAATTTAAAATTTCAAAAAAACAAATTATTGAAACGAACTTCGATTCGGCCTCTATGAACATGACCGACCAACCAGAAAGCTGGGATTTCACGAGGTCACTTTCGGCTGCCCTGTTCAAGGCGGGCATGACCTTTTTGATGGAGAACAAGTAAGTCTCGTTGTAAGGAAGAATGACCAGCACGGTCAAAGTTTTAGGGGTGGTCTTCTTGTTGTAGCAGAGGAAGCTCTGCCTGTATAAGCTGCAACCGCATTTGTTCACTTCTTCCATGTCGCGTGAGAATGATGATGAAGTTGGTGGTTTTTGGGTGTGTTGCTGGTGATTGTATTGTTTTCTGTCGTTTTGTTTGTTCGCCACCGCTGAATTAGTTGAAGTTGTTGCTGTTGATGTTGTTGATGGAGTTTTTGATGTCGTTGACTTGTGAAAGTCTCCATTCCGAGATGATCTTCTTTTTATTTGCTTTGCAATGAAGGGAGTTAACTTGGTAGCTTCGTGATAGCAGCCAGTGCAATTTCCATAAAATTTTTCATTCTGTTGTGGGTCATGATCAGGATGGCTTGAACTGTTTATTTGATGATGTCTGCTGTGTTTCTGTTGGGCTGGCATGTCCCGGAGATACGACGCCTGTGCCCTCGTGACTGTCGCTTCGGTCGCTTCGATGTCTTCTACTTTTGCATCAGTGTTGTTTGAATTTCGCACTTCACGTTCTTTCCCAATATTTTCAATTACATCACCACCATCATCAACAAAAATTTTTATGGTAACCTCAACATCATCATCATTTTTATTTATTTTATCCCCACCACCAACAATATTTTGACCACCATCATTGTTACTTTTCAGGGTATAGCCACTAATATTTCTGTTGTGATTGTGTTTTTCTTTCATTTTCCAACCATCACCACTACTACCAACACCACCACCACCATCATGTGCCTGGGGTGGGGAGTTTTTGAGGAGTGGTGGGTTGGCATTGCTGTTGTGCCTAAGGTGTTTTTGGTGATAACTGCGAGTTGTTGCACGCAATGGAAGTATTGAAGATGATGTCGCTATTGTTGTTTCGGTTGTTGTTGTTGTTGCTGATATTGTTATTGCTGATATTGTTGTTGCTGATGTTGTTGTTGATATTGATGTTGTTGTTGATATTGATGTTGCTTTTGATATTGATGTTGTTGTTGCTGATGTTGTTGTTGTTGTTGATGTTGTTGTTGTTGATGTTGATATTGTTTTTGTTGTTTTTGTCAACGAGTGTCCGTTTTTTGTATCTGTGGTGAAAATGTAAAAAAAATCACAAATAATAATGGTCTAAAATGATGATGGTAATCTAGGGATAGGAAATTTTGTTGCTGTTGTTGTTGATGATGTTGTTGTTGCTGTTGTTGTTGATGATGTTGTTGCTGCTGTTGTTGTTGATGATGTTGTTGTTGTTGTTGATGATGAAGATGTTGTTGCTGCTGTTGTTGTTGTTGCTTTGGTGATGCGGTTTTGACTTTTGAATGTGCAATCATCATTGTTGTTGTTGTTGTTGTTGTGCTAGATGCGTTGATGTTTTATGAAAAAAAAATGTTTTTACGTTGTTGTTGTTATTGTCGCTTTTTCTAAAATACGTTCTAGCATGTGAAATTATTGTTTATTTCAAGTAGTTTTTAGTCTTTTGTTTTTGTTGACAACAACAACAACAACAACAACAACAACAATAATAATACTTTTTTATTGTTATTACTATTATTACCACTACTAATTGTTGACAACACAACAACAACAACAATAATAATAATTCTTTTTTGTTTTTATTATTATTACTACTAATAATAATATAATTGTTGACAACACAACACAACAACAACAACAACAATAATAATAATAATACTTATTTATTATTATTATTTTCATGAGGCTGGTGTGATGATGATGAGGTTGACAAAAAATTACTTAGATGGTAACAACGCAATTTTGACATTGACATTGGCAACGATCATAACGCAGCGTCTGGCTTTTGTCGGGAATAATATAAATAATAACAAGAATAATAATAATATTGTTGTTTTTGTTGTCGTTGTTGTTGTTGCTATTGTTGCTGTTGTTGTGTTGTTGCTATTGTTGTTGTTGCCGTTGTTGTTGTTATTGGGTTGTTGCTAGTGTTGGTGTTTGCGTTGTTTGAGCTGTTGTTATTTGTTGTTTGTTGTTGGCGTTGTTGTGTTGTTGCTATTGTTGGTGTTGTTTTTGTTGTTGTTATTTTAATATCCCGAAGTTAAGTGAAGGACATTAGCAAAATGTAGTTCATTCGAGGAATGAAATGACATTAATGTGATGTGATTCACACAATGAATGACATTACATCAATGGTAAAATATTAAACTATATAACGACTAAACTTTAATTACTCTCCTGTTATTGGCTTTTGAAATTGAAAACAATTAACGTTAGGACATTTTAATTAAACAACTGACGATAACAATAATTTAAAGTTATAATTAATGTAACGGCTTTAATGGAACGACCTAAACAATAAAAATCAATTTTTTCTTAATCCTGAAATCGTAGCAGCTGTAAGCAGCTTTAATAACAGAGGTAGGTAGAATTGTTTGCGTTTCGCAAAATATTTTATCTGGGGTTTTAAGGGAAGAAATAGAATTAATAACATCAAAACTATTAATTTTGTTAATTTTTTTTATTTACAAATATTACCGGCATCTTGGCGTAATGAGTAAGGCGCTTGGTTCCGTTGTTGCAGTGACCAGATTCGAATGCAAGAATACCACCGCTCATTAAATACAATGCAAGTACGTGATGAGAGGATTCACGTGTGTAAACAGGCTCTATATGCGCTGTAACTTTTGAAAATTAATTGAAGAATAAATAATATTTAATTGTATTTGAGAATATTTTTAAAAGTTTAATGATAACATTAATTTTTATTATCAATGATATGAATACAAGACGATGATGAGTGTTATATATATATATATATAATAATTTGGATGATGATGGTGGTTATATCATGATTCGCAAATGCTAAAATAGATAATGAAGATGATAATACTGGTAAAGGCTGATGATGAAGTGAGTGAGAAATGAAACTCATTAACGAGGAGGAGAAAAGGATTTTTTTGGAAACTGTTGAGAAATCAAACAATGGGAAGAGAAGTACGTTAATGGAGTGATGATAAGCGATGCCGAGATGGAAAAAACAACATGAATGATGATGGATTAAAAATGGTTGGAACAAAAAATGGTGAAATTATGGTAATGAAGATGATGAGGAGGAGGAAGAGGAGAATGGTGATGATGATGATGGTGATGACGATGATGACGATGATGACGATGATGATGATGATGATGATGGGGATAAAGAAAAAATAACAACACCAACATTACAAATAATAATAATAATATGAAAATTATTTTGAATTAATGAAAGTCATTTTGGCGCAGCTTTCACCCATACCGTTGTAATAGATTTCCTATTCAAATTTCCAGAATGGTGATAATTATGACAAATTTTCCGAAAATTACGGTTCTCTTTGACATTTTCAAATGCCACCGTGACAATAAAAACGATAGTGACTGAAGATTGGTCAGCGCGATGGCGTAATGGTTAAGATGCCTGGCACTGATGCTGCGGTGACCATGTTCAATTGCAGATAGATCACCGTTTATCATATCATATGCAATGTGTAATGCCTTGATTTTCTCATAATTACCAGAATTGTGAAATAATTATTAACAACAACAACCAGCAACTACAACAACAACATGATGTTGATGACGATGATGACGATGACAACAAAGACCATAAAGTTAGCGTTACAAATTATGAAAATCGGTGGAAAAAGTAGTCCAACGACAAAAATGATTTCCGAAAAACAAGGGTGACGCTGATGACGATCGTGATGACGTCATATAATAAAGATGCTGATTAAAGTGCAAGTCATTAAAATAACATACTAAACATTGTAAATAATAATAAATTAATAAATAACAGTAATAAGGTAATGGTGATAATATTAATGTGTAGACCAAAAAAATCTTCACCTAGTTTGTTACGCAACACCTTTTTTGGCTTCGTCACACCCGTTTTCGTATCAAGTAAATTATTGTTGTTGACGTCATTATTGTGGTTGTTTTTGTTGATGTTAGTGTTGGTGTTGTTGTTGATGTTGATGTTGTTGTTGTTTGTGTTAGTTTCATTTACGTCATTATCGTTGATGAATGTGCCTTTGTTCAACTCAAAGTTTAATGTTTTATCAATCCTGTTAATGTTATTAATATTGCTGTTGTTGTTGTTGTTGTCATTGCTGTTGTTGTTACTGGCGTCAAAAATGTTATTTTTGATGGTAATGATATTGTTCTTACTCTTGTTGATGTTCTTTTTGTTAATGCTTTCTTCGGTGCTACTGAAATTTATAGTTACAAAATCCAGGCTATTATTAAATCTTTGTGTTTCTTTTGAAGAGTCAAATTTGTCAACGAAATAAGAGCACGGAGGGATGTTGAAAGGGCTGTTGTTGATGTCGTTGTTGTTGATGTTGTTGTTGTTGATGTTTTGGCTGCTGTTCTCGTTGATGATGTCATAATTATTACCGTTGTTGTTACTATTGATGTAATTATTGTTGATGTTGTTGTTGTTGTTGTTGTTAATGTTATTAGGGTTTTTAGTGTTTTGTTGTTTTTCGTTGTTGTTGTTGTTGTTAAAAATTCCGCTGATGTCATTTATGTTGGACAAAAAGTTATCGCTATTCATTTTGTATTTGGTATTAATGTTATTGCGATATTTATAGTCATGGGAAGGATCTTTGCCGTCTAAATAAGTATTTAGGGTGACACCAAAAAATGGTTGGGTCTTATTTTCAAATACATTTTTGATGTTAATTTCCTGGTCTGGATTAATGTTGTTTATTGAATGGAGGTTGCTGGTGACTGAACTGATGCTGTTGTTGTTGTTGATGTTTTTTTGAAAAGTTGTATCACTAGTGTGGTTATTGTTGTGTTGGGAGTTTGAGTTGATGTTTTTGTTGGGTTTGTTGTTTTTTTTGTGGTTGCTATAGTTGTTGTCGTTGTTAATCTTGTTGTTGTTGTTGATGTTGTTGTAGTTGTTAATGTTGTTAATGTTGTTGTAGTTGTTATTGTTGACAATGTTGCTGTTGTTGTTGTGTTTGTTGATGTTTCTATTGTTACTGTAGTTGTTGATGTTTTCTGCAAGTTCTGGTTGACAAAACGGCAAATATTGCACCATCAATGTAATTAGCATCCAACTTTTAAATGATGCTAAAAAGTGCCATTGAGGTAAATGATTATTAGGTTTTTGTTGGCGGAATTTCGAAAAATAATATAGTTGTTGATGTTGTTGTTGTTGTTGATGTTGTTGTTGATGTTGTTGTTGTTGTTGATGTTGTTGTTGATGTTGTTGTTGTTGCTGCTGTTGATGTTGTTGTTGATGTTGTTGTTGCTGTTGTTGATATTGATGATGTTGTTGCTGTTTTTGTTGCTGTTGTTGTTGTTGATGATGTTGATGTTGTTGTTGTTGATGTTGTCGTTGTTGATGTTGTTGCAAAGAATGATTACGACGAGATGATTTTTTTTCAGACATATTGTAATGCCGAAGTATTATATCAAAACAATTCTGTCGCCAGTTTTATTAAAAAATTCTTTTGTCGACCTGTCATCTGTTTATATTTTATTGAAAAAAAAATACGTTTATAAAAGTCTCAAATAAAGTAACCATAATTACGTTAACCAAAATTACACCAACAATAACTGTATCAACAATAATGACATCAAATCTAACATGAATACCGCAACATCAACAATTATTTCATTAAAGTTTTTAAATCCTCTATCCAGAAATAATTTTTCAGTTAGTATAAAGATGCTAAAAACCTCAAATCCTCAAGTAAATATTGAAAGTCAACAAAAAATATTATTGTAATTTTAATTTAGCGACAACAACGTCAGAGAGGAAAAAGTAAATATGACGTCATCGCCATCACTTCCGTCCTTCATTTGCACATCAACAAAATGTTTCGAAGCTCTTTTCCTTTCGCTTTTTATAAGTGCATCTATCTCTTTGCCATTCATACGTACATACATACATACATACACATTCATATATATATATATATATATATATATATATATATATATTCATATATCGTATATACATTTATATACATTTTTGTATATATGTATGTAGTTTTAATATTTTACGTAAGTGCTATATATATTAGGTATATGTATATATGTATGTGTGTGTGAGTGTGTTTGTGTGTGTGAATGTGTGTGCGTCTCTGTTTATGTGTGTCTCTATATCTGTTTGTATTGTTCGTTACGCCATGTTCAATAAATTCCTTGGGAATTCACATTCAATGGCGCCGATGATAAGAGGTTAGTTTTTCAGTTTTTTTACCTTTCAAATTTCTTTCTTTTGTATTAAAATGATGAATTAGGAATTAGTTCCTTCTTCTTTGCTATTTTATTCCTCCCATATCATTTGTCATAGAACCAAAAACTTAAAAGATGGCGATGAAGAACTTAAATAACAGAAACTGAACAACGGCAAAGCGTCAGCACTTCATTGAACGTGCATGAGATGACACATTTCACCGTACAAAACACTCTATTTTCTGTTGACAGCTACGTACCTTACATGCTTTCATTTTGTAGAAGCTGTAGTAACTCAAAGAAATTATTGAGAGATAACGACGGTGACGAGGTCTTTGTGTCATTTTTTTACTCTGAGGTACTTTTGCACTTATCATGCAGTTTTGTAATTGGAGAGAGCAGCATGGAATTAGAGTAAAATTTTAAGAATTTTTTAATTTATTCATTCTATTTTATTTGTCTATTACAAATAATTTACATTTTAAATGCAAAGAGTTACACTGAAGAATTGCCATCTTGTTGAAACACCGGCTTCCGTCCGTCTCAGTGCGTTGAGTTGTAATTGCGAAACATGCAAGAGAAATTGAAATATATAATTATGTAAGAAGTTCTTTTTTGTCATTTTAAAAAACTTTTAACACAAACATTAATTTGAACTCTCTTAATGATACCTGAAGTTTTCAAAATTAATGATTCTTTCTGAAAAAATTTAACAGAATTAATTTTCGGTAATTACTTTAAATTATTGAAATTACACCTACTGTATGCCTATGCATGTATTGCGTGTATTGCGTGCACGTGTATGTGTGTGCGCTCAAGCGTGTATACAAATGATTGTATAGGTGTGTGTGTATGTGTGTGTATGTGAAAGTTTGTGGAGTGTTGTACGTGTAGGTGTGTGATTCCAAACTTTTGCACTGAACAAGAGATTGTTGGTTCGGATGATACGAGCAATAATGTTAAGTGAACCATCGTAGTTGAATCTACTTTTATAATGGTCTATGTACGGTGTCTGCCTCAAATGAGGACTCGTTTCATTACGTAGCATCTTGTTGGATGTATTGATACTATATCAAGAGTGTTTGCTTCCTGTGACATTGTACTTTTTTATTTTAGTTTTTGTATCAATATAAGTTTTTGAGCTAATACATTTTTCTACGTTCTTTATTTGAATGTTTTTTGCAAATTTGGAAAAATATTGACCTTTGTTATTAAAGGAGAGTTAAAACTAAAAACATGAGTTCGTTTCATAGTGAAGAAAATTTTTTAATATAAAACAAATTCTACATAAAACATGGAAGAACATAGAAGACTTTCTGAACATATCTTCTGAGAGTGCAAACAGTGCAAACCAGCCAGCGACGAACATTGAATTTATTGAAAGAACAAACTACGTGGCTTATCTTTCACGCTGTTGGCTCACATTCGAAATATTTTATTTCAATTTTTTTTAAACTAAACCAAGATATTCCTGTGGTAGTAAATTTTTTTTTTCAAATGCAGTTGCACACTCTGTTGCTACTCTGTTGACTTGTTTGCTATTTGCTTGCTAAGATTTAAATCACGAGACAGCAGAAAAAAAAACAATATAAAAAATTTTTACATTTTATTAACGATAAACTTTTATTTGAATTTTAAAATTTATAAAAAAAATTAAACTTATTTGAATAGATTTCTATTGCATACGTAATAATTTTATCACCTAATTAACGTATAATTTGATAAATCTTGAAATATTATCGCGTGTCTTTATAAGGAAATACATTTTCTCTGTAATTTTGTCTGTTTTTCTGAAAACTAACAAGACAAGACAAATCCATGTTTCAAAGTTTGCGAGCAACAAACTGACAACAAAATTATTTGGCAAAAAGAAATAAAAAACAACAAAACGAAAAAAAAACAAAAAACATATACAAAGAAAAAACAAAACTTACAACAAACAAGAACCACAAACAACAACATAAACAACAGCGTAAACATAAACAACAACGTAAGCAACAACAACAACAACAAATGACTAACCTATACATTAATTACAACAAAATAGTACCTTAAACGTGATCAATGAAATTAAAAAAAAAATAAACCGTACAAGTTAGCCAACATGATGAAACAACCCAACAAAAACAAAAATCATTTTAAAAAAACACACACACACAACCCTCGACTATAAATATGAAAAAAATAAATGAGTGATAAACAATCAACTCTTAGATAGCAACATCTATCTTTTGAGCAAAATAGCATCGATAAAAACAAAATGACATAAGAAATGAAAAATGAAGAAGTTATCAAGAAAATAATAGAAATTTTTCATAAAAACAACAACAGCAGCAAACTAAATTTTTTTATCAGCGACATCAATTACTAGACGAATATTGCAACAACAACTAGTAGTACTAGTAGTCATCATTGAAGTAGTAAATGAATTATAATATCCTGTATTTCTCTTTGTATATAACTTTTCGTTCAATATCGTATGTATATTTGTATATAATCGTATGTGCATACGGCTTGAATGGATATATACATCCATTCAGGCCATATGTGCATCTGATTATTATTTGTCATATAAACAACTGGCTGTAAAATGATCAATACTAATTAATTCATTTACTACTTCAATGATGACAACAACATCTAGCCACGTTTCCAACAACTACTACAATAACTACAACAACATGACAACAACAAAAACAGCCGCATCAACTTTATTAAATAATATTTTATTAAAAACTAACCCCGCTGCCTGTCTTTAAAAATGAAAACCCAGGATAATAGGATAACAACATTTTTATCACGACAACAAAAAAACAACAACCTCTACTACTTCTAGTACTACTACTACTACTACTACTACTACTACTACTACTACTACTACTACTACTACTACTACTACTACTACTACTACTACTACTACTACTACTACTACTACTATTACTACTACTACTACTACTACTTCAATGATGACAACAACATCTAGCCACGTTTCCAAAAGATAAAACTGTCGACCAAACCAATCCATCAATCAAACAAACAAACAAAATTCCACCAGATCGGAAAAATTTGCAAAAAATAGTTTTTCTATATAAAAGAAATTTCATTTTAAAACATCGTGCTAATCTCGTTGACACTTTTTGTTTTATTCTTTGCTAACCAATCTGTTCACTGCCTCATCTATCCTCTAACTCGTCTGCAAGCTGTCAATTGAGGCCATTACTCACGAAACAATTTCGAATTCCAAAAGATCAAGAAAATATATATATATATATATATATATATATCAATAAAATATTTGGGCGATGATTTGGTGTAATGATAAAGACACTTGGCTCAGCCGTTGAAGTGCCTGGATTCGATTACACAGAGATCCCCGCCTATCACAAGCAATGTTGATGATACGTAAATTAACGTGCATTCATACGTTGCTTATGCCCATGGTAGATTAATTACCAGTAAATATTGGAAAATAATAACAGAAACAAAATCGTTAAATAGTGTGTGCGGGTATGAGCAAGAGTTTTGCTTTTTTTATTTCATGCGCCAAAAAAAGTCGTCAGCCAGACCTTATGACCAAAAAAGGAACCACAAATGTTAAAAAATTCTCTTCTAGGTCGAAAAAATTTGCTATTTGAGTACATATGCGGTCCTCTAGAGGTAAAATAGTTCTCAATGCGGCCCTCACAGCAAAATATTTGCCCACCTCTGTTTTAAGCCAAAATTTGACGCTTGATATCATATGACTGGCATGCAATTTTGCTTATTTAATAATTACCAAATAAATTTATTGAAAAAACGTTTTGCCAAATGAAAATAATATGCTTCGATGCTCAACAAATGCATCTGAAAGAATATTCAAATAACCACCCGTGCTTTCAGATTTGAGAGAAGTACATGAAAATAAAAACAAATATTTAAAAAATTATGCCCCTAAAAAATTAAATGAATGTGTTCACGATTATGCGTGCTAGATTAGTTCTTTGTTAGTTTTTTGGAAAGTTTTTTCAGCAAATGAAAACATTTTAATAAATTTTGAATGAAAATAATTTTGTTTTGCCAATAATGAATAGTTGTCCCAGGATATGGATTTGTACTGTACTTTATAAAAAAAAGTTTAAATAAATTATTTCACGTTGTGGATTTATCTACGTCGTCCATTTCAGAAAGAAATAGGGAGTGTTAATGATTGACAAAGTTTGTAAAAAGCATAAAAATCTACTTCTTTTCTGTTTCAGAATTTTTATTCACGATTCAATTTTCATCAAGAGCTCCATTACAAAATTTCTGACATTTGAATATATATATATATATATATATTCAATATATATATATATATATTTATTTATTTATTTATTTATATATTTATATATATATACTTAACTGAATAAAATATTTGAAAATATTATTAAATACGCACCACAAGTTTGAAAATTGTTTGTTCGAACGCGGCAGCATTCGAGTTCAACATGGCTGGTCGTCAAGTGCATAACCATGAAAGCTAGCAGGCACATTCACACGCATTTATACACGCCAGGAAATCACATATTTCTCCACATATTCAACCCATAGCACATATTCACGCAGATTTTTAACGCGCATAGATTTGAATTTGTTAACTTTTAATAAGAATGAATTTTTTGATTTCTTGAGGCTCTTTTTCGTTGTTGTTTCTTCATGAGGCAGAGATTCAACGATTTTACATAATTTTGCTTACATTTAAAAGCTGGCTGAGAGCCATTCCCATATTACTCCATCTTTAAAGTCGCAACTGTATGCATATACCTCACAAACACACACACACACAAAAACACACACAGAAGCACATCAATCAACACATCAATACTTCTATCTGCGATATGGTGCATACAAGATGCATACGTGTACTGAGTACACATTCATTTGTGGAAACAATTTCACGATGAACGATTCCGTGAAATGTGATGTATTATTCACTCGTCTGCCTGCTAGAATGTCCATGTCACAGAACATTACAGATGAATTAATTAAAAAAATTACTTGCCATTAATTGGGATTATGCTTTTATTTATTATTATAAATGTTGTATTGTATCAAATGGAATTAAACTTTAGAACTTGTATTATATTCATGCTTGTATTTAATATATAGATGCATACAGATGATGTTATTTATTTTTTAATTTCTTAGTTTCAGCTTGCATTTGTACCCAACCATCTGAAATCAGTTGCGTCCAAAATGCCTTTCACTAATATATATCAACATGTATCTTTCCATATCGATTTTGTTTGCAATAAAAAATGATATGAACTGTTTCTGATCACTGAGGCATGCGAAACAGCAGCGGTCAACAAAGAAGTTGTTTCGATTCTTCTTACAAAATTTTTTCCATTTTTGTATCTAACTTTATAACGATATTTTTTTCACTGCATCAAATTTTTTTTATTTTCAAAATAATTTTACATTTCGATCAAAACGAGCAAACATTTACGGTTCAACTGGCGCCAACACTTTATATGAAATGAAGAATGAACAGCATATGAAAGTATTTAGAATAATATCAAACAACACATTATCATTACCACATCATCAATTACGTGACCATCATCACATGACCAAACGACCAAGAGTAAATGATCGCATGACTTCAACAGCCACTTGCAACTAACATCGAGTCAATTCTTTCCACTTTGAAATTCTCTCCATTCTTCTCTAAGTAATCAACATCATTCAGTTACTTCAAAAGATCTCATCATGACAGCGCGCAGTTCTTTTATGCCGTTTTTAAAACCAAATACTTTTAATTATCATCATCAAGTGCCTTCGTCTGAAATGATGAAAAAATATAGCTCGTTATCGGATTCATCGCTGAATCACATCGTTATATTGCGTTTATCTCATTCACTTTCTCACTGTGGCATCATCATCGTCATCATTATTTATCATCGTAATTATCGTTAAAATTATCGCTATATGTGCTTATGAGTCCAAGGTCGATATTTAACCGAAAGAAGTTAGAAGAATATATGAAAATCTTATAACTGATTGACAACATCGTTAATCGTCAATGAAATTTTGTATTTTAAATAATTCGGAATGTTATTAAAACTTTTATTATAAAAAATGGGAAAAAACTCGAACGCAGAAAGAATTATGAAAAAAGGTCAAATGATATAAAATCAATATAGAAATCTACATGTCGTGGCTTCAAATATTACGAATATGATGTTGCTCCAAAGCTCCAAACAATCCAAAGTCTACATTTAATCGCTCCAAATATTGCGAATGTGATTTTCCAAGTCATGTTCTAAGACAACGTTGCACCAAATATACTTTGGTAGGTTTTGAGTTGGAATGCTGTTGCTCCATATACTCCGAATGTGGATATCATTCTTAAAAGGATTGCTTCTAATATCATCTTGAATGCCTTCCTCTGAGACATCAATTTTCTCAAATGGCGTGATTTTGTTTTCTTCCAAATTTTCACTCTCCATCGAAATATAGTTGAATGATTCATCATTTTTAACTTTGACATCCTTTGTAGGAGAAATATCTTTTTCCATGCTTTTACTTTCAACTTGATACGCGTATTCACTCGTTTCAAAAAGCATTCTTTTGCAGTTTTCAAACTGTTGACTTTGCGCTAATATATTGTCAAATAACTCTTCATTTTTGATTTTAACATTTGTCACAAAAGACATATTCCAAATATCGTCTTCTGTGTTTTTATTTTCAATTGGAACATCATTGTTATCCAGCTGCATTTCACTAATTTCTTCAAACTGTTCATTTTCGTCTGAAATATGGTTGATCACATCCTGGATGTCGTCTTTCAGATCTTTACTTTCATTAGGAACCTCGCTTTTATTGTTTTCAATTATTTGTTTTTCGATGCGTTCCCGATGATCAAGTTGCACCGAAGTCTTGTTGAGTGATTTTTCATCCCTTTTTATTTCATTTTGTAGGTTTTCTGGATACTCATGCTTAATATATTCAATTCTGTTTCTCATGTCTTTCGTTACGTTGTGAATTTTTTTCCATTTTAATTTTTTGAAAGCCATCAAAGGAAATTCCATGATGAATAAATTCAAGTCACTTGTGGAAACAAAAACTTTTCCGTTGCATGTAATCGTCACATCGAGAAGTTTCTCCAATCTCATCATTGATTGCAATGCAACAAGTATCGTATCACCCGTTCTGTTGAAGATTGTTATTTTTAAAATTTCGTAATTATTGCATATAATGACTTCGTCGTTTTTTCCAATTTTAACGAAAATTGGAAAGTCTGTTATTCCTTCTCCGCCTATAGCTCGCAGTTTCTTTCCTTCGTAGCTGATCACCTGAAATGTAAAATTAAAATTTTATTACAGGTTCTGAAAATGATTATGTAATAACAATTAAAGTTGTTAGAATGGTAAGAACGAATTCTACCTCTACGCAATGTCTCTCCTTATCGCAGAGGAACAGTTCTTCGTGCTGGTTGACATCAATGTTGCAAGGGTAGAGGAAATCTGGGCAGTGTAAGACATTCAACAACACTCCAGCTCTATCATATATGTAAATTTTCCTGGACAGGGAGTCCAGAAGAAAACTTTTGAAGCTGCTGTCCATGCATATATCTTCTGGGTTTGTTGCTTCGTAACTGAAGGAGGTTACTGTGAACAAATTCGCCACCAAAATCTTGATCTGAAAAAAAATTATAGTTAGTTATAAGATTGTAAAAAGTTTAACAAGTATATCAAATAAATTCAGAAAAATTAACTTACCATTCTGTAGGGAGGACTTTCGACGACAACCATCATTCTGGTATGTGGACACATGTATATACAGCGAGGGGATTCCAAAGGTGTTCCATTCTTGTGCGAACCTACAATCTTTTTCAAGTTCCCACTTAAATCAAAAACTTTTATCCTATTGACGGTAGGATCTGATATTATTATCTGATTTTCAGAATTTTTACAAAGACTGTTTGTGGTGCCAATTGGTCTAACAACGCATTTTATACATCTGAGTAAATGACGTTTCAATAAGTATTCGTTCTCATCTCTTGTCTTGTTTGATCCTAAATGGTTATTACAGTTGTTTTCAATTTTTGTCCCAATTCTCACTAAATCATTATTTTTTAGTGAGAATTTTTGTTTTGTCCTCGTAACAACAGACCAGTCATTGCTTGTTTTTGGAAGCATCTTTTCATTGCTTCCACTGCTTGAATGTTTACTCGTAACATCTTTGACTTTCAAAAGTCGAAAATTCTCTCCAATCAAATTATTCATTAATATGTCCTTCATTTTTAAAACTTTAATTGTTGCAAGTTGTTCAAAACACAAGTAGGTAACCTATATGCCTGGGGTTCAACTGGAAAGTTGTGATGCTTCAAACTCATCGTCATCTCTATTTATATTTGAAAATTAACTTTGCTTTGTTATAAATATCGTCATCTTTCTTTGTAACAATTTCATAGAAGTTTCTATCATTTTACAACCATCTTTACAACTGTAAAAGGAAATGTACTTTGTGATTTACACAAAGTGCTAATAATTCGATTAATTAATTTACGATTCTTAATTTATCGTCTTCTGTGTTTTCATTTTTATCGATTGGCAATTTTATAATTTTTTCAAACATTTCATTTTCGCCTGAATTGTAGTTGTTGAACAATTTTTCTTTCACATCCCAGATATCTTCTTTCAGGTTTTCACTTTCATTTGGAAATTCGCGTTCACTCTTTTGAGTCATCATTCTTCTGCAGCGTTCCGGGTGATCACGTTGCACTGAAATCCTGTTGAGTGATGCAAGAGCAAATGTACACATTTATTTCATTACAAAGTTCAACATTTTTTTCAAAATAATTGCCCACAGCGTTATTTCTTCAGTTTACGGTTGAACCGTTTTTAAATTGTGGTATTTTATTTCTCAGGTTTCTACTTTGCTGTTATTTCTTAATTATTTTTTTGCAGCTACTTTTTAATACATGTAAATCAAGGCTTCACATAATTTGCATTTGATAGGTATGAATCTTTTCGTATTCGAATCCTGTCACTGCAAGAGCAAAAGCAAGCACTTTAACCGTCACACTATTGCGTATGCAGAGTAAGTGTTTTGTCCAAAATAATTCTTCACATATAGTGGGTAGATAGGTACTACCGCGTTTGAGTCAATGAAGCAAGCAGGTTGTTTACGATGGGATGTTTCGGCACGTTTCCTTGCTATATTTGAATCTGAGAGATTGTATTTATGTTAGCAAGCATGTGGGGATGTATAACTAACTAGATGTTTTTCGTTAACATTTGTTAGCGCAGTAATTATTTTTTATGTTTTTTGTTTTTAATTTGGCCTAAAATTTAAATTAAATACCATTTCCAAATAGAATATTATTCAAATTAAAATTTCACAAAATTGTTTATAAGAATTTCATGTTGTTTTTTTCGTTAAACACAAATCTTTTTGGTCATTTGGTCATTGATAAATTGAAACATTTTAATTCAATCAGAATGAGCACGTATTTATGAAATTAAAATCCCTACTCTATTCATCGTCACGCAACTGTTTCTCTTTCTCTCTCTCTCTTTCTGTTCGCGTTTCTACATGTCTGTGTGTGTGTGCGCATATGTATACGAATTTGTGCCTTTATAAATTGATGTTTCGTATTTAATTGGATGATATTCATGGCAAACAGCAGCAACAGAAAATTTCTTAAATCCTTATTCCTTCATTCGTTCTCTTTTTTATTGTCTTGCGTTTGGAAAATGTCATAAACTTAAAATTACATAAATATGAACTTGTGAAACAACACAATGTTTTCTGGCTTTAATAAACAAAAAGAATATTCCAATATTTATGGATGCTCAAAAAACTTGAAATGTTTTTAAGATGCAAAGCTTTTTTGAACAAAATTACTAAACCGTGAGCGTAAAGTAAAAATTTAAACTTTTTTGTGCGTTTCATCACACCAAATTTAAATGAAATTTAACTGTTAGCAGAATATTTTTAAATTCTTTCAAGTCATATTTTTAAAAATATATAATTACAAAAAAATTCTTTTATATAAAAAAAACATATTAACATTTCAATGACATAGCATTACAAATTTGAATAATTTGCCGAATAAAAACAATGCTATCTAAACGCAAAAGTAAGTTAACTGGATCGATAGGATACTGAATAAGAAAATAACGATGCCAGAAACAATACATGCCAATTCGAACACATGTACTATGTAGTTGCAAACGTAATTCTTTATTTACTATCTTTAATCACATTTTATACTAGTATCTACGTTCTTTTTTTTCACTCCCATTCTATTTTAGCACCTAAGTTCTCTGTTTTGCCATTCACATTCTTACTATATGGTAAAATGTCGTTTGTCTGATAAGTTTGTTCTACATATTTAAAAAACAAGGCATCTTTCTACTTTATAGAGATGCCTATTTTTATAAATATATTTAAGATGGAAAAGTGTTATTGAAAAGAAAGGGTTAAAAGTTAATATTGGTAAGACGAAGGTAATGGTGAGTGGAGAAGGTGGGGAACGAGTGATAAGTAAAATAGACCCCTGTGGGGTATGTGATAGGAGAGTGAAGGCTAACTCGGTATTGTGTATAGGATGTCAGAAATGGGTGCATAAGAGATGTAGTGGTGTGAGGGGGGCACTGAAAAAGGTGGAAGGCACGTTCAAATGTAAGAAATGTGTTCATGGTGTGATTAATAGGACGGACGCAAGGACGGGGTTGAGTGATGGTATTGAAAGAGTGGAAAGCTTTGTTTACTTAGGGGATAAGCTGAATGCGGATGGAGGATGTTTGAGCGCAGTTACGGCTAGAGTTCGTGTGGGATGGATAAAATTTAGGGAACTGGGTGGGGTATTGTGTGGAAAGAAATGGTCAGTGAAGATGAAAGGGAGGGTATATAAAGCATGTGTGAGAGCAGCGATGATATATGGTGGTGAAACTTGGGTGTTGAGGAGAGAGGAGGAAAGTGTACTGCAGAGGGCTGAAAGAGCTATGGTGAGGATGATGTGTGGGGTTAAAGTGAAGGATAGGAGGAGTAGTACAGAGCTGATGTCAATGATGGGACTGAATGAGGACATTGTGACATTGATAAGGAGATCGAGATTGCGGTGGTATGGACATGTGTTGAGAAGGGATGAAAGGGTCGGGATTAGGCGAGCGTTGGAGTTCGAGGTTGAAGGAGTGGTAGGAAGGGGTCGTCCGCGATTGGGATGGAGAGAGCAGGTGGAGAAGGACAGGGTGAAAGCGGGGTTGCGTGATACTGAGGCGAGTGACAGATGTGGATGGAGTCGAGGGGTATTTCGGTTTCATCATAGGTAGCCAAACGGCAACCCCCGATCTCGGGGAAAATGCCGTCTAAACGTGTGTTGTTGTTGTGTTGTATATTTAAGAATAAGTGATTGTTTTGATGTCTTGTGCTAATATTTGGATGAATATTTATTAGTTCGGATGGCGATGAATAGAACAGTTGTCATAATATAGCCATCACCATCATCATTATCCTCATCCTCTTCATCATAACCATTTTCATCATCATCATCCTCTTCATCATCACCATCAACATCATCATCATCCACATCATTCTCATCATCAATGTCAGAACGAGGAATGGCAAAACGGTGAAGTAACTCTACCTTATCGCACAATAACTCGATGAAATTGATCACGTGCTTCTTTAATGGCCAACTTTTATTGTACAACTACAAATAAACACCAATAGACACAAATTAATATAAATAAATATTAATTACTTTAAATAAATGTTTTAAAAAATCTTATAACAGAAAGTTCGGTAACCTAAAATGCTCATATATGCGTGCATACGCAGAACGCAAATAAGGTAGGGTATACAAAACGCTGTATTAGATTAGAAAAATATATGGATTTGAAAGTGGCTTTTAAGTAAATAAATAAAAATTAAAAATGCAAATATTTATTTATTTATTCATGTTTATTTATTTAAATATTTATTTATTCAGTTTTTTTTATACGCACACGCATACAAACACACAAACACGATACTCTCTTTCTCTCTATCTTTCTCTCTCTCTCTCTCTCACACACACACACACACACACACACACACAGACACACACATGAGGACCAACAAACAAACACAAACAAGCCTTCAAACAAACATGAGATAGACACGTCCTATCAACAACATAAAACACACTCAAACAACAACAACAGACTGCACTGAAAATGACCACGGATGAACAACAACGAACTTTTAATATTTTTGTTCTGTCCCTGGCAAAGTACACCTAAAAATGTGCTACCAGCAGGGCAAGCGGAGTGGGCTTCTATCACGGGCTCCCATAAATTCCATGCAAAAAAATTTCATGTTACATTACGTACGCGTTACATAACTTCCATGTACAGTGCATCCCGTTGATCCCAACTCTGGTGAACTGACCTCAGTGTGTGATTAATGCCACGCGACCTTTGACATGATGAATCGCTCCCTGGGTTAAAAAACATACACAGATAATCACAAAACACATACACATTTAGTCAAATACGCATACAAACACATCATACAAACACATCATACAAACACATCATACAAACACATCATACAAACACATCACATGTATCCATACAACACACACACACACACGTTGATACAACTACATACAAACATGCATTATAAGCACCTCACGCACGCACACACATGCACGCACACAAATATCCATACATCTTTTAATAAGGGTCAATAGCAGTATTTTTATAAGTAAGCGAGTAGAATGTACGTACGTAATGTACGTGTTCGTATGTAATTGTTAATTTTCAAACAAACATTTTTATTTATAAGTTCACAAATTGTGCCGACAAAATATTTTAATAAAAACATCATTGAGTTTTATAAAAAAAAATTTAGAAGAATAAATATTAAAATACTTTGTGTAAAATTTGAAAGGATTGCCCGAAGAACAGCACACGATAAGCGTTCTTTTACTTGAGGTAGGTTCTTTTCAAAATCTTCTCTAGGCGTTCATCATTGGCTATTGTTCAACATCCGCTCGGTTTAATGATTGCTTCAGTCTAATTTCCTTTTCCTAATTTAATCATAAATTTCAATGGCAACAACAACATCACCGACATCAACAATATGGTCAGCAGAACATCAACAAATTCAATGTCAACCAACATCATTGTAACGGAGATTTACAAGCGGGTTTAGATGTTTGTAATTGTGCTCCGACCAAACTAATTTATAAGATTGAAAACAGCGCTAATTTATTACAGAAGCGACTTGTTTTATGGAGGGTAATTTAGAAGAATCATTAGGTTAACGACGACGATACTGCAGTAATAATGCACGTGCGTGTCTGTCTGTCTGTCTGTATGCGTGAGTATGTGTTTATGTATGTGCGTATATGTTTGTTATACCATACATATATGTGCGTATATGTTTGTTACTGTGCATGTCTGTGTGAATTAATATATGTTTTTTGGTGTATACGTGTGTGTGTGTGTATGTATGTGTGAATATGTATATACATATGTGCAGTCTGTGTGGGCATATTTATGAATATGTGCGTGCGTATGTATGTATGCGTGTACGTAAGTGTGTACGTACGCAGGCATGCGTCTTTCTGAATGCAAAAATGAAAGATAAGTTAGAATAAGTTGAAATTTAAATTAATTTTTTTAACGAGCAAGTGAAATTGTCACTCGTAAATTAAAGGAGTTGGTAGATGGAAAACGAAAAAGGAAAAAAAAGGAAGAGAAAGAAAGAAAGAATGAAAACCAGATTGAAAGAGAGTAAGGTTTTTCAGATCAATTTTTCATTCAAGAGCAGTGAGATTTATACCACTTGAAACCTTTTTGATAACAAAACTCGTTTGCGCTATAGTTGCTTTATCATCAACTGCAATTTATGTTGACGTCATCAATTCGTCGTCGTTGTATATTTTGGTAACAACCTGTCAAAATAATTCCAAGTTGAATAATTTCAGTGGTTATTTTGTTGGATAGGTTAAAGTGTCTTTGTTGCAGAATTTTTTTCTAATTTCTCAACTTTTGTCATTTTGTTTAAATTTTCGATAATTAAGCCTAAAAAGTTAAATTAATTTTGTAGGCAACTAAAATAATTAGAACGATGATGGTGCTATGGCGTTAAGTCAAAATCGAGTATATGATCTCATTTATTAGTTACCGATTTTTAATGCTGAAACATGCTGTAATTTATCCCTTCTCGTCTTTATATTACATTAATGTAGTTTGTTAATTTAAAAATTAACAATTTTTTCCAATATTATTTCAAGTTTTCACGTTAATCCAACCTGAAGTTTACAATCCAAACCCAGCAAATGAGTTTTATAAATACACTGTTAACATTAACGAAGGGATTGAAACATCATAAAGTGACCGAACTTTTTATGAAGGACAGATGAGTATACAATAAAACCGTCAATTTTCTGTTTGTAAGGGGCTTTGATTTTTTAACGTCATGGTGATGTTGATGTCATATTAGTGATGATGTAAATGTTACTTTCATCACGAAAACGTGTCATAGTAGGTTTTGTCATAGCATTTGTTAATGTCTGGAAGGTACATATTTTCGTGACATGTTTCATGCCATGAGAGACATTTTTATCTTGCTCTGAAAGTTCAGTGTCATATTTTCAGCGTTAATTACAGTTCCTGTCATCAACCTTTCATTTCAAAAGTTTGTTTTGTTTTGCAATCAAGTTAGCAATGATTACACGTCTTTGTGATTCATGTCATGTTGAAAACGAAAAGTTAAAATGTGACTCTGGTGAAATTATTCATTAGCGTTTTATCAAATTCTGTGATTTTTAGTTTATAAAAATGTAAGTATAGTGTATGTGACCCATGTTTTTTTATTATTTATAACAAATTTATTAACTATTAAATAAGCCTTAAACATTTAAAAAGGTTTTTTAACGTTTGTACAATCATTAAATTTTTTCAAAACACTGTGAAATTTATAAAAAAAATATTCAACGAATAAAAACCGAAATAATTATTTTTGTTTTCTTCTACGAGTTCAAAAAAGCGCTTATGACTTCGCTTTTTAAAACTGCTTTTTAATGGCAGATTTTAGATAGTACGCTGGTGTCATGAATGCGAAGAAGTATTAAACAATGACAGTAAAAAGTTTAACCAATGGTGGCAGATGATCAAAATTACTCTTGGCGCAAAGAAAAAAGAAATAGTAGTAAGCTGGCGGTTGTTTAATAGAGCAGGTGTGAGCATTTGTAACTTTTACTACTGTCCATGCTGCCTTGCCTGTTTGTCCTCATTCGATAAGGTCCTGTTACCTTCTCCAGCTAGCCGGAGTCAGGTGAAAATTATCCTTCTCCGTTCTCCCGAAAAATTCTGACTGTAACTCCTCGAAAATTTCCAGCTTTGACCCTCTGGTTGTGAGTATATCAACGATTCCAGGAACACTTGTAATGAATTCCCCATTCGATGCCGCAAAAACAAACCTTGACGACTTAATGCCTTACAACAAATTTCTCAACAGAGTAACTATTCGGTCGATTCAAGATATTGTAAATCAAAAATGTCGGAATTTCCATCACCAAATTATACATTTTCATGCTCAGGATATTGAGTAATATATCATAAATCATGTAAAAAAACTATCAGCTTAATTCAGTATATCAGTGACACATTTTCATAAATTATCCAACTATAGTTCGTTGTTCATAATGATAACTATTCGTGTTTAAAAACTGAAAATGATTGAATATTTCTGTCTAAAAACTGGATTCTATGACTGTTGATGACAACACTGCAATGAAATGGATAGATGACATTACTGAATGGACTGGTGATGGTATTCTGAATTCAATAAAACTGGCCAAAGATAGAAAAGGTTTTTGGAAAGAAAAAAAAATGTAAAAAGCATGCTTAGATGCACACCATCGACCTCAACGGTCCCCTGATGGACAAAGGAGGATCATTGATAGATTGATTAATGACAACACTACTTACAGTGGGCGACCATCCCTTAGGCACCCCCCCCCCCTATGATCCGCCACTGGTTTAATGTCTATACTAATTAAACTTTCATACATTTTAATAGTAATCTTTATATAAGTTAAATAAAGTTATAGGGCAGTCATTGAAAAAAGTAATGTATGAGAAAAGGACCACCAGGAACAAAATGAAAAATGTTTCTTAGAAAACACAAAACAGTAAGATATTAGTGGCAAAAGATGTTATTGTTTCATTGAACTCAATAAATTAATATGAATAAAAAAAAAAACAGAAACACGCACTTTAACAAAAATGAAACAACATGTTTTCCCATTAAAAAAAAAATATTTCGCAGCGAAATGTTTAAGCTTAAAACAGAAAATGAAGCGCAGAAAAATTATGATAAACAGCTGTTAGCACATTCGCCTTTCCATTAAGCAAAAAAGTCAACCATCGAAATGGTTGTTTGGTTTGATCTGGGTAGAATTTTGATTATTTTAATTTTAATAAAACTATGAATATTTATTAAATGTTATCAAATCTACTTTTTTTAAATAGGTTTTTTTAAATTATCTCGTGGTCTCATAAAATCAAATGTGCGGTAAAAGATCAGTGATTCACAACAAACAGAAACGAGAGCAATGAAATAGAAATTAGAAACTTTTTTATGAACGAATTTTGAAAATGCGACATGAACGCCGTTTGGAGGTGCTGAGAACATTCTCGTCAAAGAAGGAGGGAGATGGGAAGTTCAACAGAAACTATCGCGGTTACAGCCCCAACAACAACAGCAACAACAACAGCATCACCACAAACCAGCCACCTTTGAATTATGATGACACACAATCAACAACGTCAGCCAGCAACAAAAACTATGAAAAGAAAAATAAAAAAGAATTGAATTCTGTGACGATACACAGTGGCCACTTCATGGTCAGCTGCGTCCACGAGGAGGTTGAAAAGGTTAATGACAAAACAGAAGAAAACTCTTTACACTCTTCAAATGAGGATGATGATCATCATAATATCCTTGGAAAGTCAAAGTTTGACATGGAATCAGGTGATGAAATGGACATTCTTCATCACAACCAGTCCCACCACTACTATCATCAACAACAGCCTTATCACTCTTCCAATCAGTCTTTGGATCAGCTCATCACGCGACAAGATGACAACAAGTCAATAGATGGATCCCTGGAAGTTTTGTTCCATCACATGACATTAGCCTATAGGTATCTAACATTTTATTTCATTTTTGTATTATTTATATTTTTATTAAATTTATTTATATATATTTGGATGCACTAATTTTCAATTAAACATTTAACTGAAGAAGTCAAAGTTTGAAATTATGTTGTATGTGTAAAAGTCATATAAAAGTATTTATAGTTGCAAAATATTTTTTAATATATGTGTATGTCTATCTATCATTCTATAGTGGTAGAATATTTTAAATCCCATTTCAAATTTTAAAATTAAATTAATTTTATTTTCAAATAATTATCCTTATTATAAATATATAAAAAATATATAAATATATAATTATTTGTTTGGAATAATATTCATTCAACCTGGTTAATAGCATCAGGTTGTACTTTGGCAACACTAATGAGTAGGTGTGCCTATAAATAGTACAGTAACTTTTGTTTTATATGGTTGTGTGTGTCAAGGATCCACCAGAAGTTTTACTTTATATCATGTTATTCTGTATGTGTGTGTGCGCGCGTGTGTGTGTGTGTAATATGTATGATATATCTATTTACTATTACTAATTTATTAATAAGATTAAGTATTATAAGAGGCATTCAGTTTTTCTTTATTCATATATGTGCATACACAGTACTGGTGTAGCACATAACAATGGGTGTTTGCCTGTGTCAGATAACATTTATATCATGTTATAAGTGCTTTATTCAAGATAACAGATCCTAGCATATTTATATAACGGATCATTCATTCATTCATAATATACATGTGCATGTGAATAAAATGGGCTAGAATGTTGGGATCTTTGGCTGTGCAGTGTCAATACAAGTGTTCATGTTTTTTTTCAATTTTGTTTTTTATTATTCTAGTATTATTTATTTTATTTATTTATTTATTTATTTATCTGGTATTGTATTTACTGATAATTATATTTTGTTTGTAAATTTCCTATGATCTCTTCTAGGTTATTGACTCCTATTAATTTAGGGTGATGATTGATGACCAATTTGAAATCCACACAGTTTCACCTAGCACTTCTCTCTTATTTACTTACATTTTAGTATTGTTTTTTATGATGGTGTAGTTTATCTATCTTTAAAAAGTACGTTCATCTATTTGTGTATGTTTCTACATTTTTGTCTATGTCTGTGTTTATGTGTTTTCTCTCTCTCTCTCTCTCTCTCCCTCCCTTCCTTTCTCTCTCTTTCTCATCTCTCTATCATTTTCTCTCTCTCTCTCTCTTATTATCTCCATTTTTATTTATTTTGTCTTTCATCTGATTACCCTTCAAAATTTCAATACTAGATACTTAAATTATTTTTGTGTGACAAATGTACAACATTAATTAGTGCGCCAGTATAAATGTTGATGTGATTGTTAATGTTTGTTCTTAGGACTATTGTTAATGTATGTTAGAATAATTTTAAAAGTCAGGTAATGTTGAATGTCAAAACCTGACATCAACCTGACACGATAATGTTATTGAACTGCTGAGAGCTGCTGAGAGTTGGGTCATTGTCCTAAGGACATTGTGTATGTGATGTGGTGAGGATGAAGACGATGATGACGAGGGGGCTCTGGTAAGGAAAATGAAATAGTAATGATGAAATGGTGATGATGGCAATGAACTGATGATGATGACGTGATGTTGATGATGGTGAAGATGAGGAGGATGTTGCCATGGTGATGTGGGAACGATGACCAGATGATAATGAAATAATAATAGTGAGAATGATGATGAATGACGGTGATGTTGATGACTATGGTAATAAACTCATGATATTGAAGTTGGTAACCCAATAAAAAAAAACCGGCAAGTAAATAATTTTCATTGGCTTTTTTATTTCATACCAGATATATGCTCTATACACTTAAACCATAGGCTCTTGTACTGGGTTTTGCGTTCTTTGTAAATCATGAACTGATATCTACAGTAGATAGTGATGAATAAATCAATCATATACATATTTTTACCATGAGTGTGTGTATGTATCTATCTATCTATGTATCTATCTATCTATGTATCTATCTATCTATGTATCTATCTATCTATGCATCTATTTATATATGTGTTTCTTTACGTATGTATCTATCTATGTATGTATCTATCTTTGTATGTATCTATCTATGTGTGTTTTGATATATGTATTTATCTTTGTATGTATCTATATATGTATCTATTGATGCAAAGAGAGAAATAGAGAGATAGATATACATTTATATGTATCTATGTGCTGGTTTTTGTATGTATGTATGTATGACTATATATATATATATATATATATATGTATATATATATATATATATATATATATATATATATATACACGTGGGTGTGTGTTGTTTATTTACCAAACATATATTTTCTTTTACTATATATAGAGTTTGGAATGATAATTTCACTCACTCAAACAAGCAAACAAACAAGCAAGCAAACAAACACATCATTCATTAATGAATGTGCCAGCTCAGATTTGAATGTGACCTTATTTCATGTTTTTATTACTTTGATACTACCATTGCTACTATTCTTATTATCGCCTTTTTTTCTTATTTATGGTTTATTCTTCTTTTTCAATAGTTATGAGTGTTGCATATTTTTTTTGGTTTGATATATTTATTTATTTTGTATTTATGATTTATTTAGAAATTTTTTTTGTTTCGTTTTTGTTAGAGGTTAACAGCGTTTAATTAGAAAAAATTCCTGGTTTCGCTTTCTGTGCAATGAAAGATAGGTTAATGAAGGAAATGGAATCTCAGATAGGTTAATGAAGGAAATGGAATCTGATGTGAGTTCGAGGAAAATGTTCAAAGTAGCAAAGCAGTCAATGAGGGATAGGAAAGATGTTATAGGGAATGGATGTGTTTGGGATGGATCTGGCAAGTTGTGCATAGATGAGGAGGAAAAAGCTCAGGTGTGGAAAGCTCATATGGAAAGGTTGATGAATGAAGAGAATGAGTGGGATGGAGATGTGGAATCCGCGGTCACACACGGACCTATAGAGAAGGTGACGAGGGAGGAAGTAGAGAAAGCAGTTAGAGAAATGAAACTAGGTAAGGCGACAGGGGTTTCGGAAGTGGCGGCTGAACATATTAAAGCGAGTGGGGTGATAGGAATTGAAGTTATGATGAGAATTGCTAACAGTATGTTTGATGATGAAGGTATACCTGAGGATTGGCGACACAGTGTGTTGGTGCCGTTGTATAAGGGCAAAGGAGATGTGAGAGATTGTGGGTCATACAGGGGTGTGAAATTACTAGAGCACGGAATGAAGGTAGTGGAGAGGGTGCTTGAGAGGAGGTTGAGAAGTATGGTGACAGTTAATGAAATGCAGTGTGGGTTTATGCCTGGTAGGGGAACGGTGGATGCGTTGTTCATGGCGAGAATGTTGCC